AGACGAGATCAAAGGTCCGGGAGGGAGACAGGCAGGCCCCTCCACTGCACGAGGCCACTTGGCCACCCGGCACCCATCTCACCCAGGCTCCCGGCCCAGCTAACCTGTCTACCTGTGGGAGATGCAGGGCGGGAGGCGACCCGCAGCTCTGGAAGAGAGGTCCCGGGTCCCCGGGTTCCCGGGGCAAGGCCCCTTCCTGCTGCGACAGACCCCACCTCCTCCAGGAGCAGCCGTGAGTCCTCGGCCACGAGGTTGGCAGCATGAAGCACACCTGTCCCACCTGCCCCTCGCCACAGTCCCCTTACCTCCCCGAGAACAGAACCCACCTGGCCGTACCCCCCACCCCCTCCCAGCAGGAGAAGGGCCACACAGCCTGCAGCCCTTAGCAGCCAGCCCCGGGGCTGCCCGGGACCTACGGGGCCCTGTGGGGCTCGGAGCTCGAGGACAGGGCAGTTCCCCTGACTTGGGGTGGCCTGGCCTGGAGGGCGCGGGGCAGGGCGTTCCCACAGCACGTGAGCGTGTGGGTGTAAATGCGTGTGAAGGCACACTGGGTGTGCGAGAGCGTGCGGAGGGGAGCGTTGACCCGTGAGTGCACGTCTGTGTCCACAGGACCGCCTTGTGAGCGTGTGAGTGCGTCTGGTCGAGGGCCTGGCAACGTCAGGAGCTGCAGGGGACTTACAAAGTAGATGTCAGTGGCAGGCGTGTCCTCCTCATCCGAGGCCTGGCTGGCGGGCTCCGAGGCCTGGCTGGCCGTTTCTGCTTCGGCAGCAGCAGAGGCGCAGGCTGGGGAAGCCTCCACCCTGGGGACACAGGGACACGGGAGTCCTGGGGGAAGGGCTCTGGACAGCACCCACCTGCCCCAGCCCCCGCCGCAGGGTCCTGCCTGCCCCCTCCCCTCTCATCAGCGGGGCAGCACAGACTCGAAAGACTCAGGAGGCCAAATAAAACAGAACCTCCCCATCACTGCTGAGGCCCAGGAGATAATAGGCCCTCCCGCGAACGGGTGAGCACACACCAGTGGGCGGGCAGGTCCCGGCGCCACCATCACTCCCCGTGAGACCCTGAGGGTCCTTTCCCGTCCGAGCCTCAGTTTCCCCATCTGTGGAGGAGGGACGCCGGGCACCCACCATGTTGGGTCAGAACCTCTTTCTCATCTTCACCGAGCACTTCCTCTGGGCCAGGCCCTTTCAGGAACCTTGCCTGAATTCACCCAGCGACCCTCCACTGGGGAGGGGACTGCCACCCTCCTGAGTTACAGACAGGAAACTGAGGCTCCAGATGGAAAGTGAGGCGTGTCCTAAGCCGAGTGACCGGGGATGGATTCCAGCTCCTGAGCAGAATGACAGGCTCTGAGATGGGGGAGCACCTCTACCCTTGGAGGGATGGGCTGTTCTGGGAGCAAAGACCGAAAGACGTGTTATACTGTTAAGAATTCAGTTAAGGGCAAAAAAGCCACGGGTAGCAGAAACGGCTGTGTGTGCACACGGGTCTGTGCGTGTCAAATAAATTCTATTTTTTTTTTACTGTTTATTTGGTTTTTAATGTTTATTTTGAGAGAGAGAGAAATAGAGAGCGAGAGAGCGCGACATCAAACGTGAGAAGGGGGAGGGGCAGAGAATCCCAGGCAGGCTCCGAGCCATCCGAGCAGAGCCCGATGTGGGGCTTGATCTCACGAACCATGAGATAACGGCTTGAGCTGAGATCAAGAGCCAGCTGCTCAACTGAATGAGCCACCCAGGCGCCCCTCAAAATAAACTCTGGATGGCAAAGTGCAGCCTGGGAATGTGTGTCTGTGAGAGTGAAGTAAGGTCTCTCGAAACGCAATGGAAATTTTAAAAAGCACATAAAGCAGAAATTGTGACAAAGCAAGAAAAATTTGATCACGATGCCAATTATAGGACCAAACACACCAAAGAGGAGAAATGAGGATGTGACGCAACTGAATGCCATCAATCGATACATCAGACAGAGCGGGCTCAGAACTTTCCATCCCTTCACAGAGAACACACATTGTTCACACACGTCCACTGACCTTAAACAATGAATTCTGTGGGGCACCTGGCTGGCTCAGTGGGTTGAGCATCCGACTTCGGCTTAGGTCATGAGCTCACAGTTCATGAGTTCCAACCCCACATCGGAGTCTCTGCTCTCAGCGCAGAGCCCATTTCGGATCCTCTGTCCCCCTCTCTCTCTGCCCTTCCCCCGCTTGTATTCTCTCTCCCTCTCCCTCGAAATAAACAAACATTTAAAAAACGAAATCTGTATTTGAGCAGAAAGGCTAAATGTTTTTAAAATATACGTGGATTTTCTAGTCTGCTTCCTTCAACTTAAAGCTAAGATTAAGTACTGAAAATGTAAACAAAACAGTCTTCAAATACTCCAAAGTTGGGAGACACTCCTAAATAAACCTTGCAGCAGGGTCTCCATGGACATGGGGGCGGATGGTTCTCTGGGGGCGTGCGGGGCAGGGCACGATTCTGGCCACAGGTGTCCCCAGACACCAGCCCCATGTCCTCTGGGGGCCAAGAGCCACTGCCTCGGGTCAGAGAGGACGTGAGAAGCGAAATGACACGCTTCGGCAGGCCAGTATAGAAGAGCCGCTTCTCGCTCAGCCCACGGACGGCGGCATCAGCGCCGGGTGGCCCACGCGCGGCCGGGAGCGCCTCCTTGTCTGAGACACACGGGAGCCTGAACCCCCGTCTGCGCCGGAGGAGCAGGACCGCGCACGGAAACAAACCAGGAGTCCGTGAATCGGGAACACGACACGATGGGGGAAGCGGGCTGAGCCCAGAAGGCTCCCTGGGGAGCCGGGGCCCCACTGCTGCCAGCTCGGGGCTCCAGGCTGGGGACCCCAGGGGCTGAGGAAGAATCCCAGGACTGGCGCACAGCCGGCGGCTCTGCCGGAGACCCGAGGCGCCGGAGGAGCCCCTGCGCGGATCGCCCACTTCCCGCTGCCCGCACCGCCCCTTCCAGGGCCCCACTCCCGGCCCCAGAACGCGGACTCCATTACCCAGCCTGCCTCGGGGGCCAGCTGGCCACGTGGCCACGCTCAGCCAATGGGATCAGAGCAGGAGCTGAGCGCAGAGTCGGGCAACGGGACGGCGGCCGGCCCGCTGGCTGGTGACTCACCCCGCGTCTTCCTCCTTGGGGACCACGATCTCCACGCTGCACGCGGACTCCACCTGCACCGTGACCTGCTGCAGGTCCTCCTCCACGTGTGTCTCCTCTTGGGACCTGGAGGCAGTGGGAAGCTGCACCTCACGCTCTCTCTCCTCACCGGAACTCTGCCCTCCGGGGGTGGGGGTGGGGGTGCACCAGGCAAGCTCCAGGCCGGTGGATCTCCAGTCCTGGTGGGAAGCTGGGAGCCTCCGTGGGGTGCTCCCTCTGGGTGCCACCTGACCAGCGCCCTGAGCTGGCCCAGCTCACCCCTGCGGTCTGCAAGGGGGCAGGGACTGACCGTGACCCCAGTACCAGCAGGGGAATAATGTGTGAATGGTGGCCTGGATCCTGCCCACCCTCCTGGGGGTAGCTGGGCCCTGGCCTGGAGGTGGGGTGGTTCCAGGGGGTTCAACGATCCAGGCCCCTGATGTAGATGCGTCAGAACATTTGGGCAGCCAGGAATGGACAATGTCTCCGCAGAGCAACACCAGAGAGCAAAAAGGTTGTGGAGGCTGGAGGGGGCAGCTGGACAGTGGGAAACGCTTTCCACCGAAAGTGCTTTATGCCATAACTTTCTCTCCAACTGGCAGGAATATTTAACCCCCAAACTAAGGAAGGCAAGCCCTACAAGTCGCGTTGTAAGATCCAGCAAGAGGAACCACCCAAGTGCCCCC